ACACACACTCAGAATGTCAGTCCAGTGTAATGGTCAGTACTGTCCAGTGAGCACACAGACTGACAGTCTAGTGTGATGGGCAGCCATGGGGAAAGGAATAGAGCTGCTGCCAGTGTCTGACCAAACCAGGGATCATGGGAGTCCTGGTGTGGGACAGCTACCAACCCACTGAACTCTTTTGCACAAGAAACGGCTCTTATTGATTTAGCTGCCTGAAGGTTTCATTACATGTTGGAGTGTTTGGCTTTTCACATTAACACAACAACAGACCTGTTAGCCCTGACAAATTCTGCAGTGTTAACAGGAAGCTGGTATTGGATTATTATTATGACGAACTTGCTGTCAAACGTCGACGCAGTTATATTTCTGCTGTCATTATTGCTAATCGTTCTAATAATGATAATAGTAGTAGATTAATGGTGTGGTCTACTGGCCTACTGTTGCACTGGTTCACATCCCCACTGAGTGGCACTTGTTTGAAAACAAGTGTCTGATTCATGCTGCTGTCTGATGCCCTCATGCTGCTTATAGATGCTGAGAAGGCGCTTTTCTCCGGACCAACATAATTGCCTTAAATATTGATGGATTTCAGTTCCAGGGCATTGACGAGACAGCATGTCTGCAGACTAGTAAAAGATCACTCTTCCTGCCGCTGCCCAGACATACTTTCAAACCCAATCTTCACTCCTTCGCGAGCTCTTCTCTTAACGGCTTGTTAGGTGGGTCAGTCTCATGGGGTCGTTCGAAGGCGCCTGTCTTTTCCCATCATTCAGAGCAGCCAGCCCCAGGATTCCAAGGTGCCGGAGGTGTTGTGCAGGTGTGAAAAGTAGAGGTGATGGGTTTGCAGTGGGTGAAGTCTTTCCCCTGTCCTCAGCCTCTGGGTACAGCATGTGGGATAACCAATCAGACTCCCATTGAACAGCACTGTGATGAGTTTAAAGTATTATCAGCTGCCGACTGCTGAGACAATTAATTTTGCATGATTCATCTGTCCGTGCAGTCTACTGTGCCATGCACGTCCGATGGACAGTACTGTAAATCCTGAAGAACATCCGAGTGCTCTGCACTGGGAGTCGGGTCTTTTTCGCTGCACAGGATACTTGGGAGCTCTGTGAGCAGGAGAGTGTGCAGCAGCTGGAGAGAATGTCCTGGTTATCTGTAATCAGAACTCATGGGGAACTGATGGGGTGAGTCTGCACCCCTGTCTCTGTGAAGGGTGATTGCCTGTGTGGGGTGTGTAGGGTGTGTCTACCGCAGATCCTTACGTCTGAATTCTCCATGTGTTTCCCCAGTTTCCTGCTGGTGTTCGGCTGTCTGGTCCTCTCCGTCTTCTCCACCATCCCCGAGCACCAGAAGTTCGCCAACGAGGGGCTCTTCATCCTGGTGAGAGAGCCACGTTTGAAAACTGAGAACATTGAGAACATGGAAGGGGTCAAAAATTAGAAACACAGAATAGTTCCTCTGGGTCTGTCCTCCTCACTTAGTTGCTGAAGGAAACCAAGCCCAGATCCTCCCTTGTCCAGCGGATTCTCCCAGGATCATCGCCCCTCTGAGTGAAAGAGCGCCTCCTGTTGGTCAGCAAGGCTCTGCAGAGCTTAGCAGACCCTTTGGCCTGTACCCCTGCACCTCCTCTGTTTCAGCTGTGTGGACAGGAAGTGTAGCCACCATCCTCTGCTTGCGATTCTGGAATTTGGTTCCGTATTTCAGGGGGCCCGCTGGGTTGGGCCCGGGAGAAAACCTCTGCCGAACAATCCAGAAGTAACAGTGTCCTGGCCCGAGTGTGACAGCTGCTCCGGGACAGCGTCCTGCTGCAGTTCTGGCTCTGTCCCGCCACGCTGCAGGCCCAGGGTGGGAGGTCCGCTCGGACCAGCAGTGTTGTCCAGCTCCAGCCAGGTCCGTTAGACAGGCCAGCTGGAGTCCCAGAGGAGTCCCCTCCGACCTCCGCAGGTCCACAGAGCTAGAGAGAGGCCTCCACTTACAGTATCTCTTCTGTCAGATATCCTTCTCGGGGATTAGTGGTAATGGAGCTTAATCGAGAGAGCATTTACACATTCCTGCTCTCCCTCGAATTCATGTCCTTTGTTGGTCTGTCACCATGGCGCCTGGGTCAGGGGTGCGTGGTACAGCCTGTCACCATGGCGCCGGGGTCAGGGGTGCGTGGTACAG